AATTTTTTTCTGCTCATTAAAACATTCTTGAAGGTGTGGAATCCATCATATTCCCGTTTAGGTGATTCTTTTATTTTAGATCCTACCACGAAACTCGAATTTCCCTTAACCGTCCAGCAATGGGCCTGTTCACCCTACCATTTCCGTCTCCGATCAATAATTGTTGCAAGAGCTTAAAAAATCTTCTACTGTAGCGTCTCGCCCTCAATCAGTGTCTCGTAATACGCGGAGACTAGTTGAGTACCACTAGTACCTTCAGTGCCACACGTATAATTTTTTTATTTGCAAATATTCGGGAGTCTCGTCGACAGCTCTCAGTGCAAATATAATTCAGTACAATTCGTATCGGGCACTCGATCGCATCACACTACTTACTCTTCACTTTTCAATTATATAATATATAAACGTAGCAATAATTTGTAATTTACTTTAATTATAGTGTTATCTTCCTGTCATCACCTCAATCCCTACACTACTTTAATTCCCAACAATCATTCTAGATGACGGCATCACTTCTACTGATAAGGAAAATAACCGTCACCTAGGCTGTCATTATTAGTGCATGTGATAAATTTGACGCACCCTCATTTGGTTTCAATTACTCTAGAATCCTTCTGTTTTGCTTTCGCGTTCATTACTAAAAGCTAATAAAGAGTCATTATAATAATTTGCAAAACGAATATTTGGAAATATATTAATTTGATTATATTTGTGCCTCATCCTGCCTTTTATTAAGTTTGATTTAAGAGCTGATGCTCCTTTCAGGTCTCGGTGTTTGATTAATAATTCCCGATCACAGAATAAATGTCCTTATTTTAAATAGTTTTTCAAAATAATTCTATAACAATTAATTCGAACACTGGCAATTTTTTATGAAATAATTTTATTATAGATATTTAATTAAAGTCAATGGATTAACATAAAATGAATCAGGAAAGAAAACAATTACACCCAATAAGTTAATTGCTACGCAAGATTCATGGGTATCATTAAGGAATGTCGATGTTTGATACAGGGTTTCATCTCAAAATTGAAAGTCTCGAAAATATCGTGTTTCTCAAACGAACAGAAATCGCTGTGCAATTTCTAAAAGGATTTGAAAGCATGTGGACTATTACATTTTTATGTAGAAATCAATAGCTCATAAAAGGGAACTGCAAGGAGTTTCAATTCCATTGCAAGAGGCAGACAAGCCGACAAGAGCAATCTGTAATTTTCGTTGGAGGAAGGTCATTTTTCAAATCGAATTGAAATCCAGTAGAGATTAACCGGTGAGAGCACATGTAGAAAATTGATTTGAACTCGGCGCGAATCGAATCGATTTCCTTGGAAAAGGCCAAAATTTTAACTTTTTTAGGATTTCTCGCAAGCATTTTTACTCAACGAATTGCAAAGGTTCACTATTAAAAGCAAATTTTTTTCATATTGTTTTTTTGTCAACGAAATTACTTGCAAATTATTTTCTTCTTAATTTTTGCCTTGTTGTCGATAATTGAAATTTTTTTCTCAAAATCTAGACGAATGATTTCTCGAACGGATTTGAAATCAGAACGAAAATATCTATAAAACTTTATCAGTTTCATTTTCAAGGGTCAACCGATTGAAATTTTGTTCACCGTGTAATTAATGATAGATTAGTTGAAGGCCGACTAAAGTGGAATGATTTGTGATTTCCTCCGAATCCCAATATATTCATTTATCAACAAAGATATTGTTAATTGCAGAACGTCACGAAATTTTCTCTTCGCCAACCTCTTCACGTATGGAAAAAATTCAATAGGAAACATAACCAATTCGCTAGAAAATTCTTTTGGAATTCTATAGGATTTCTATGGGCTTTTTATAGGATTTTTATTGGAATTCTATTGAAAAATTCTATTGGTTTTCTGAGTCAATAAATTGCGAATTTCTGTTTGAATTTTCCTCTTGAAATTTTTTCTATAAGAATGCTTGGGCATAAATTTGCTAAGTTATTTCCGTTGGATTTTGTTTTGTTTTGCATTACAGAATCTGAGTGAAAAAAAATTAGAAAAACCACTTGGATTCTGTAATGCAAAATAATAAAAAATCCAGCGGAAAAAACTGGGTAAATTTATGCCATTTATGCTATTTATTACAGAATCGGAGTGGTTTTTCTAATGTTTTTTCTGCTCGGAATCTGTAATGCAAAACAAAATCGAGCGGAAAAAACAGCAAATTTATACCTAAAAATTCTAATAGAAAAAATCTCAAGAGAGAAATTTAAACGGAAATTCGAAATCTATTGACTTTTTCTTATTGAATGTCCAATAGAACCAGTACAAAAAACAAAAATTTGTCAATAGAAATCCTATAGAAACCCCCATAGAATTTCTATAGAATTCAAATGGAATTTTTTAGCAAATTCGCTAGGTTTTCCATTAAATTTTTTCACGCGTGTCCTGTACTAATTGGATTAATTTTGGAGAAAAACTGTACCAAGAAAAAGATTTGTATAGGTGTTTCTGAGAAGAAGAAACACTATTTATTGAGAAATACGGTTTCCACCTAAATAAAAAAAATGAAATAAAAATCAAAGCTAAGTCAAGAAATATCCAATAACCCTAACTCTCAATGAGAGGATTGAAAAAAATTCTTCATGAAATAAAAAAATCTGTAGAAACAGGATCGGCATTCTTGCCGCTGATCAGAAGATAGCGATTCAAATCGATATGAGGCAATGAGTTAGAAAACTCGGCGCCAAAAACGTCAATCCTGCCTTTATTGATTTTTTTTTATTTCATGAGAGATTCTTTTAATCCTTTGATTTAGAGGTATCATTGGATATTTATTGACTTGGCTTTGCTTTTTATTTCATTTTTTTAATTTTCGATCGGAATTGTATTAAAAAAAAAATAGTGTTGCTTCTTTCGAGAAACAACCATACAAAATTTTTTCTGGGCACAGTTTTCCTACTAAGACATTTATTTTCGTTTTCTTGGGCGATTTCTGTTATTTTTTCAAAACGAGTAGATAATATTTTTTCCGTAAGACTCTTCACTTTTTCTCGTCCGGGGATTGGTATCAGTCCTTCTCGGAACTCGGAAAAGTGAAAATCACTACGGAAAAATATCGTTAACGACTAGTGCCATGGGGTTTTTTTTACTCGTGTGGTTGGCCAGTCCCCGCTTACGGCTCGGACGCCAACTCCACGTGAGTAAAAAATCCCGTGGCTCTCGTCCTGAATTATACTATTCATGTTAATTGAGTTCAGTTTTTTCAGCGAAACATTAACTATTCCTAATTACTCTCAATACTACGAAGCTCTTTCCCATATTTATTTATTTTTCATGCTCAAAATTCAATTTGAAAATTGTATGTAAAAACAGATAGACGCAAATGATTCGCGTAAACTAACCTCGGAATTGAAATCGCCCACATGTTACTCATGGATAAAGTTGAGGTTATAAATGAATCGAGGAAAGCGTAAAATTTTCAGCTATAATACCCCAAGACCTTCAAAATTATCGGATATTTCCTGAATGTTTTGTTGCATGGCAACGAGAGGGATTTTACTGCAAAACTGATCCCGTTCGTTGATATGCAGGAAAACTTAAGGGAAATATCCGATGAATTTTGAAAGTGAAGGGGTATTCGGAGGACAATTTCTTCAATTCTCATTTTGGCCGATCAGGGTGCAGTGTTTGGGGTTACGGATACATTCACCAAAATGTGAGGAATATCTGTCAAATTCGTAGAAAACAATTGACAGGCTACAGGAAAATTATCAGCCTGATAATTTCCCTGCAGCCGGGGAAATTATCAGTGTGAAACACGTCATGTGATCCCGAATACTGTACTATGATTGGTCAAAATCGGAATTGAGGAAATTGTCATGCAAAATACAGTGCACAATACCGCGTTCATCCATTTATTTTTATTTCCACAATGAGCCAATGAGTCCAAAAAAATGACAATCATTGGAGTACAAGGAGGAAGAAAGAATAACGTTCTTCGTCTTTTATTCTCTACCGTGTATGAGGTTGAACGCACTGCTCCAACTTAGTGGCTCCAATGTGACTCGTAGGATTGATGATAAAGAGAGTCGGGAAAATGTGTATATCAATCCGTTGCTATGCGCGTATCTTTTTTAATATTAACCCTCTGACTCGCAAACCACAACAAACCGTATCGGTGTGATGACCGCCCATCACAGCGTGCTGCATGATGTGTTAGTGAGAAATAGTGACGTGAATATTACCTCACTCTGTCGCGTCAAGACCGTTGTAAGCATTGCAACTTTATTGGGGCCCTCTACATATTCTCGCGTAATACGTAATAGAATTGCCCTACTGATGATTTGGAGATTGACGGCAATGAGATGTGTTATTTCAAATTGCTCCTTTTCTTCCGGGAAATGTGTTTCATCCCATCTACCAATGAATTTCTTTTAAGAATTTTTATATTTGGGATTGATATTCAAACGTACACTTAGTGCTGCGGCACTATTCGCGTGCTCACTACTCCTCCCCTTCGACGTCGAACGTTCGGCTCCCATAGGTAGTGGGGATAAGATTGCGAGTCAGAGGGTTAATTAAAAGAAAGAAACAGTCACACGAATGAAAAGCTTGTGGCTGATTTATGCAATGCAACTGAAAGCATTTTTCTCGTATCTTATCGCGTTTTCATTTTATTCAATGAATATGATTTGGTGGTAGTGGAGGGGAAAATTGCTTCGTATACAGATAGTTGGTAGCGGGTGGCCAGTGATCACATTGTTGGGAATCAAAACTTCTTTTGTCCAATACGCTACCGCATATCTCGATGAGGATTTCATTTGACTTTAATGATTTGGCCTAGATATGATAATCATGATTCGACCCGGACATCCCAAGTGCGTACCGCACTGCATCCAGGCCAAACTCCATTGACCGAACTAACATCGAACATTAGTTCGATACTAGTTTGGCCAACCGAATCAACCCTAACGGGTTGCCATACTATGTCAAGCTGACCCTGATGGGTTGCCACACTATCAGGACTGAATGGTTTGCCGAGTTGAATTTCTAGTAAGGCGTATAACCCTGGTGAGCACTCTCGTAAGATCTTCATTCTCTCGACGAGACTTGCGTCTTGCTCTAGAGGCAGTTTCGTCGAGGTAGCTTCTCGATGACTCTTGGACGGTATCATCTCCACCTCGTTCCAAAAAACTTAGACGAGACAAGACGATACCAAAACTAGTCTTGGCGTGAATAGCTATTGTTTGAAAGAGAAAAATCCTTAATAACTCCTAAGTAACATGTTCGCAGCCATAAAATTAAGCTATTTTAACGGGCTCTGAGGTAATTATTCTCTGAACTTTTTCTTCGTGTGATACATGAGGTACACCACGGGTGGCCTACGACCCACTTGGAATTGAACGCAAGATTTCGAACTGGAATCGCACGTTCAAAATGCACACCAATTGTTCTTCACCATTTTCTAAATGATGATGATTTACAAATTCAACATAAATTTCGAACTGAATACTCCACGGAGTTTTCAATTGAAATAATCCACTCTACGTCCAATATCCAACATCGTTGCGGTTAAAGGCTCTCGGGCGATGTCAACGTTGGTAAGTGGATCCTTGGAACAAAAAAACCAAGGTTTTTTTACATTTTAGTTCGTAACAAAATTATGTTTACGTCTACGTTTTTAATTTAGAAAATTTTTTACAAAGATGTTTTCTAGATTTCGTTTCGTCCAAACATTGCTCATTGCTGCTCATTGCAGACAATCACCTATTCAATTATTTATTCTTGTTGTTGTTGAACAATAGTTCACACCCAGGAACAGAATCCATGTACGAAAGAATGTGAAAAGATCTTCTAGTCAACCAAATTTACAAATAAATTTTTCTCGGGAAATGGATCTTAAAATTTTCCCTCTCAGTATATTTGAGACTGAACAAATCCCGTTTCGGATTTATTTTCGTTACCCATTCAATTTTGATTTCGGCCCACTGAAATCAAACTCTGCTTTCTCTAATGTCAGCTAGTGCCCCAAAATCATTGTCGTCTTCATCATTATTGATTCTATTATCCATTTCTCCCGTCCTCATAGCTGGCCTTGGACTTGTCTCATTCAAATCTTCAGGAGTATCAATATTCACCGTGACTTCTCCATTTGTTGCTGCTAACGCCTGGAAACTCACATTTCTGATGTCTATGTGATTCGATTGAATTCTCCTTGACCTACTGTTATGAGTATCGGCATTAATAATATTAACAGTTTCATTGGATCGCATGTCCACTTCCAGTGGGTTCTGTAGGATATTGATGGCGTTAAAGTTACTGTGGTGCCTCAGTTCTTCGTTGGAGATATGTCTTCTTGGGCCTGAAATGGGAACGTCTATGTGACTGATCGCATAAATCCCCCCCAGCTCGTTGTTAATGTAAAAATCATCCATCGGGTTTGCAATTACTGAGGAGTTCCTTGAGATATTGCTACGTGGAAAACTTTGACTTGAAAAAGATGCAATAGTCGCATAGGGATGATAGGCCGTATTGCTCATGGTGTTGTTTATGACATGTGGACAACTTTCTAGGCTGTGCATCTCGATGTCCTCTTTGCTGTTGGTGCAACGATCCTGAAGTTCAATTTCGTACGGGAGATTTGCAAATCTGAAAATAATTTTGATCTTGAAAAATTTCATAATGAAACAATTATTATTATATATAATATTGAATCAATTATACTATCTTTTCCAGTTTGATAACATAGTCGGGAGTTTAAATTTGATTGCCAGGATATTTCAAAAAGCCTTAGAATATTCAGCGAGAGAACAAAACACGAATTAAAATCCCACCCCAGAAGCCATATAAACACAGAGCAACAACTAGATCTCTGGCTATCATAACAACACCGAAGGTTACATTCAAGTATTGGCGGTAGTCGAAACCTCGCTACCAGGGGCCAGCAGCTATCGGAGAGTGCCGTGTTAATAGATGGGGATTGTAATCGAAAAATTATAGCGCATTGATGATTGGTCAGTTGTCCCACGCATCCCCACAGAGCAGGGCAGCCCCATGATGGGAAAATACACCGAGTTTCCAGATTGGATCAAGAATAGCTCAAAGTCAATGCAATATCCTCTATGGTAATTGGATCTAGTTACTAACGGCGGCGCCACCAAATGGCACGGCGTACACGCAGCTGTCTCCATGGCTCCCCGAGGGATCCCATCATCCAGCTGAGTGCCTGAAACCGTGAAACTACGTCAAGCCGACGGTACGAGAAAGACATCCGCCTTCTCCTCGTCACTCTGCGTAGCCATTTCTCAATTGTTGCATCTCTTTTGAATCGTTGTCGGAATTTTGTGTCTTTTGTGGGTTCTGCTGCGTGTTTCTCGTCCTGGATCAACGTCCAGCCGAGAATTCCACGATGACGGCCACATGGGAGGTAGTTTGCAACCGTTGGGAAGTAATTACTGCGAGATGTTTGTCGAAAATCTTTGACGTCAGCGAGGACCGAAGGACGACCACGTGCTGAGCTTCAACGAACCAGGGTTTTGAGCGAGTTGCATTCGTAAATTTGGACTTTGTTGGTGCGCGTGGGGTCTTGTGGGGTTTAATATATTTTGACAGATCGAAGGGCTTTTCGAGAGTAATTGGGGCGTCAGTAAGCTTTTTCCTGGCCGTCGGAAGTGAATTTATTCACTGCGAGGGGTTCGCGTGGGCCTTCGCCGTTATTCTAGCTTGCACGTAAAGATTGGGTATCGTGGGTCTATTGAATCTGCTGCCTTTTTGAAGAGATGTTTCGAGTCACATAAAAGGAGAAAGAATCCAACGGATTTTCGGGTGAAAGTTTTACCGCGGATTTGTTGGCTCTTAGTGATTTTCAGAGTGTGAACAAGAGGCGTAAGGTTTCTTCATGGGGCCTACGTGCTCTGGCGTCCCTTTGAGGGTCTGAAGCTCAAGGTCAATTGTTCAGAGGGGGAATTTCCTGAATAATTCCATAGATTCGATCTAGCGTATTGGATTGTGTCAAGTCATTCTGCCCAGCTGAATCAGAGAAATATCGTGTGTATTATTGTTGAGTTTTGATTGATTATTTTTTTATAAATATTTGCTCAATCGCCGAACGGGGTGTTCATAGTCTAATAGGTAGCATTCGTTAAAGCGGAGCTCCACGGACGATTTATTGCTAGGGGAGGGTCTAGAGCCCGGATAGGTTCTAGTATTTTATTTATTTAATATTATTGAGAAACTATGGAGACAGTGAAGAAACTATTTCTTTATTTATTTTTTAGATTCAGAGCGGCGTAATTAAGAGAAATCCTTATTATTTTCTTTGTTTTTGATTTCGCTCTTCCGAAGCCATTTTCAATCTTGAGTACCGCAGATCTCTGCGATTAAAATCAATTTTGTTTTATTTTGATTTGTTTCGGGAGGTGAACGTACTCCATTAAGAATTAGAATTATTTGTGGTTTGATTGAGATCTCTGAAAATCTTTCTATTATTTCTTTTGATTACTGGTGAGTATGCGCCTCTCTTATAATTCATGCTAAAAATTGGTATCTTTTTTGCTGCTGTTTGCACATGTGATCCTCTTTCCTTATCCCTTCTATAATTGTAAGTGGTTTACGCAAGCCTTGGTGACAACAAATCGGTAAACCAGAGCATTGCAGTTGCACTCCGGAAGCGAGAGGAAATATTTATTAGAAGAGTTTTTTGGGGAAACTTAGATTGGGAGAAGAGTTTCGCCGAAAATTTATCTGTATTCTATTTGTAATACGGTTTTTTAATATAAAAAATTTTCCCTATCCAGCATCTCCTCCCTATCCCCATCCCTCATATTGTTAACCCATTTCTCACCCCGCATATTATATATATGTTGTAGCCTTCGGGCTGATACTATACTATTCAATCTTCTATGTATAAACTTGTACCATATTGTTGTCTTGTCTTGTTTGTAAATATTTATCCATGTTAATAAATCTTGTTGAATCTTGAATCTTGAATCGTGTATTCTATTTGATGGTAATTTAATTTTTTTAAGGTCTGGTATTTGATTTGGGATTTTAGTCGATAGTCACGTATATTTTCACAACAAGCCACCTTCAAGTTGTCCGATATTTTAGAAATATCAGATAATGTCACAACCCGCAACAACCTAGTCGCTCTAACGATACGAGTCACCAGAGACTCTTGAGTTGGAGTTTTTTTTTTGGAATCTTGAGATTTTTGTTTAGATCGTTTTGAGAGTAAAGATTTTCAGTTTATCGTCACAACCACCAACCTAACCTTAATGCTATTAAGTCTTCTGAGTAATTTATCGGTGAATTCTCGCGTGGTTATAGAGTACTTATGAGTGAATTATCGTAGAGCATTAAGAATCTTAGACTATTGTAATAACCCATGGCCTTCTTAATTGCTCTTAAGCAAATGGCCATTAAAGGCCTCAGTCAGATTGGATCATTGAATAATCATTTTTCAGTTTGAGTTTTTTTTTTTTCGGTTCTTGTTGATAACGTGATATCTTTACATCCGTGTTTTATTTTGATAATTCTCCGGGCTATGGGTGAATTACGAAACAGATAATTCCACACCAGTATTTCAATTGTTTTTCCTTTTTTTGACAGATTTTACCCACATTCACGTATGAAAAAATTCAACAGCAAACCTAGCGAATTCGCTAAAAAATTCTATTGGAATTTTATCTATTAGAAAATTTTAGTCTCTCTGCTCTGATTCTATTTGATATTCGATAAGAAAAAGTCAATAGATTTCATGTTTCTTTGAATTTATCTCTTGAGATTTTTTCTATAAGGATGCTTGAACATCAAGCTTTTTCCACTCGGATTCTGTAATGCAAAATAAAACAAAATCCAGCGGAAAAACTTGGAAAATTTCTCCTCAATAATTGTAATAGAAAAAGACCTGATAGAATAAATAATTCTAATAGAGAAAAAGAGGCGGTCCCAGTGCAAAGAGCACTTCAAACGCCCTCCCTTTAGGGACAGCTCATGTCGTTACGTCGTACGTTTTCCATTCATAGAATCTGCAGATCTTCTCGGTGACTTACAATTTTTCGTTCTTGCTTGCCTTCCATGACAAAGCTCACGGTCGAATTAAACGGCTCCAACAAAACCAGGTCAGGGAAGTCGATTGACAACATCATGCCTACCGGAGCCAAGCTTCAGAAGAACATCTCGGATGTTCTGCTCTTCTCGCGTCAATACAAGCTCGTATTTATTATGGACATTACCAAAATGTTCCGTCAAATTCAAGTACATCCGGAAGACTAGCCACTCCAACAACTTCTTTGGACCGATTCAAATCCAAATATCGACATATCAGCTCAACACATCATGTATGCGGAGCAAAATGAGTCACGTATGGAACGCGCTCAGGTCCGCTCCTATCCATGCGTGTTCTCGCTCAGCTCGTCGAAGACGAACGGTTTACGTACCTCCTCACAGTGGATCCGCACATTAGGGGAAGATGTGCCGATGATATCTGTGAAGGCGCTAATTCTAGTAAAGAACTCATTCACTCAGCTCATCAGGTGACTCAGCTCTATTTGTCAGGTGGCTTCCTCTTAGCCAAATGGCATTCGAATAGCTCAGCTGTACTTAAAACTTTCTCACCTGACAGCACTTCCCAAGAAGTACGTTCTCCCGAGGAATCACTCCTCATTGGAGTGTCATTTTGGAGGTTTCATGGCATCCAGGCCGGGACAGCTTCACGTTTTTCATCACTCTGCCTGAAACCCACATAAGCACCAAGAGAATCATTCTCTTAGAGATAGCTCAGCTCTGCGACCCACTCGGTTTCATAACATCATTAGTTATTCGCGCCAAGATCTTGCTGTAATCGCTTTGGATCGTGAGACTAGAATGGGACGCCCCGGTTTCCTCGACAGCCGCTGCACGCTTGCAGCTGTTCAGAAAGGAACTTACACAGGCGTCGGACTTCACCGTGCCGAGGTGGCTTGGACTGCGCAAGGACTCTACCTTCGAAATACATGGGTTTTCTAATGCTTCTCAAGTGGCGATGTCAGCCGTAGTTTACGTTAAGGTTTACAACGGGAGTAAACCTCCTCAAATCTCTCTATTCTGCTCAATAATCAAGGTGGCATCCCTCAAACGACTGACACTCTCATGATTAGAACTCACTGTAGATCTTCTGCTCGCTAAATTTGTCACGTATGTTTAGAATCAGCTCAACCTCACGAAAGTTTCCACCTATTTTTGGACGGAGTCACTGGTCACACTGACGTGAATCAGCTCACATTCATCAAGATGGAAATAATTTGTGAAGAACCGGGTATCACTCATCCAGGAGTTTACTCAACAAGCTCACTGGAGACTGGTACCAGGAAAGGAGATCAGTGCAGACTGAGATTCTGGACGTCTCTCTGCCTGTCAACTGGTAGCTCATAGACTCTGATGGACAGGACCATGATACTTCAGCACGACAGCTGAACCTGGCCGACCTACGTCCTGGAAAGCGACTTCAACGTAGACTTCGAGGAATAACCAGGAGTTCTACTTCACGTACATGCTCAACCAATCTCTCTCCAGGATCAAATCGACAGGTTTTCATCATTCAACCGGCTGTTCGGGGTCACCGCTATCTGTCGAAAGTTTGTCGCATGGCTCAAGAAAGTTCCCATCTC